GCAGACACAGCAGCAACTGCAGCACAAAGGACACCGGAGATGGCCTTAAAATAGCTAGCTCAGGAATGAGGAATAACGGAGCCATGGCAAGCTGAAGCTCAGCTGGTTTCGGCCTATCTTGCTAAGTGATTTTCCGCCTGTTTGATGGCAGTGTTCATGCACTGGCATAAATCACTCTGCCCAAGCTGTGCCTCAGCTTACTCAGGGAATATTGTTTACACGTACCTGGGAGCAGTATTCAGAGGAGGAAGGGGGAGCAGCATTGTAAATCACATCAGGGAACAGAACAGCTGAAGCAAGAAAACTGCAGGCGCCATGGGGAGGAGGAGATGAACAGGTAACAAGGTGGCTAACATTGGCTGAGGGCTGCTAGAGGACTTACTAGAATTTGGGAGTGACAAAGAAGGGGAGAAAGAGTTGGATTAAAATGGAATACTTCAGTTTGGTATGGAGAAGGGGGTCTGGGAGCTACTGAAGCAATTTAAGATGGCTGAACGAGTACATTTTCCAAGAAAAAAAAAACAAGGAAGATCAGCATTAGATGAGAGGAGCAAAGAAATAGTTAAGTTAATCAAGACAAATGGTAGTATGGGCTTGGCCAATATTTGTAATGTTACTTTTTTCTTCTCCTGTCCCTCTGACTGCCTTTTGCAGCTACTAGGTCAGAGTACAGGTTGTTGGCCACATACTCTTCTGCCTTTCCAGCTGAATAATAGTCTTCATAGCTTCATAGCAAATCATGCTTCATTTCTGCCCCTAAACTCAAGTCTATGCTATTTGGCAGTTGCCAGTGCTTGGCTTTTCCCGGAATATCTCCCTTTTTAAACTTCCTGGTCTGTACTGCTTCTCTTTCTAGTCTGCCTTTATCCATATTCTTCTTTCTTAATTCCATTATTTTGCTTATGGATCCATTTTGCTTGTGGATTTGTAGCTGTCCCTACATACATGAGCATGTTCCTCCTACATAGAACTCCCTTGTCATCTTTTCCCAAAGAAGCCTTGGGAATGCTGCTGTCAGCCTTCTTTATGCAGGGTACTGTTCAAGCAGCACCCTGTATGGGGTACTCACTCCGTGCCTCAGGGGGCAGTGCTACATTTAGTTGTGTAGCAGACAGGAAAGAGGGGCAGGGTCAGGCTCCAAGCACTCTAGACTGGTGTGTCTATGAAAATATACTTTTCCTTCCCTCCTATCCCAACAATCGTTCAGCTACTGGAAATGTGTTGCTAGTACCTTCAGCACACAGTATTCTTAATTCTGACAAGGTTTTAGCCTCTGTGACTTTGGTTTTGTCATAAGATTACAAAACTTCATTGTCCAAATAAATGAACTTTTTCTCACAATTTGTTCCTCTCATCCCTACCAGAATGTTTTTGCATATGATATTTAGGGAGAGTATTAAACACAAGTGAAATAGATTAAGAAATGAATATAAAAGAATCAATTCTTTTGAACTGTGGTTGCATAATGGAAATCGACTGCTATGAATGAACCTATGTTCAGAAGTTATGAACAGCAGAGCTAATGCACTGCCATGAGTTCATCTTTATTATTGCATTACACCTGAATCAATTGATAAAGTAGCTTTTTTTTAAGGCTAGGAATGGCACTTAATTGAATAAAAGTCAATGTAATTATATTAGGAGAATCCAACAGTACTGCTGACAGCGGAAAAGGGACACTACTGAGCAGAGTGCCAGAACTGGTCCGCACATTTCTGCACATCGTTTGCCTGACAGATATTATGGGCTGGTACATACTTTAACTAGATTACTGATTGCCACTGCTGTAAGTGAGAATTGAATAAGGGAGGCATCTTTTCTTATCAGAGCATCAGCAGAGTTTGCATCCTTACACTGGTCTTTCTCAGAATGGCCTCTGTCCGTCTGGGGCTCAGTGGCCTCTCTTTAACGTGGTAATTTATTCTTATCTCTTCATTCAGTGAATGTCGAAGTTATTTTCACTGCATGCCTGGCTGCTGTTTTTCTCAGCAGCAAAGCAAGGAAATAGTAAGTGCAAATGCGTGGAAACAACAGTTACAGTTATCCTGACTGGCTTCTACACTGCAGCAAATTCCCGTACCAGGGGAGTGAGGAAGGGAGAGAGGGGGAGAAATCATAAGAAGTAAACACATGAGCACTTTATGAGTAGTTTGCAGTTAGCGTTATGATGATAAGCACAAATGTGCTTTTATGGTCATGTAATAACATTGGTCAGTGTGGACAGGCCTTCACAGTAAGCGTTTCCTGTACTGCACTTAGCAACTTTACGTGGAGTTGCATGCCATCTGACACCAGGAAGGCAAGGGACTGTCAGGACTACTGTTTATCATTCATGTATGTGCACACTGCATGCATCTGTTCAGAACTCATTTGTGGATGATAATGGGGATGCTGTGAATATGCTTTGATTAATTTGCTTTATGTTTTTCATATTGTGTGGTTGAATCAGTATCCATCAGGACAACAGTATAAGTGAGATAACAGCTGACAAAAAACAGTTTCACAGTCAAGACTTTTTTTAAAGTCTCTGTTTTATTGGTTTCAGATATTATTTTCTTTTGTCCTTTTTTTTTTTTTTTAAACCAGATATGTCTGGATTGGAATGTGAATTTGTTCTCTCTCTCTCTCTCTCCCCCCCCTCCCCCTTTCTTTCTCTTTTCTCCTCTCTTCTCTCTCTCTCTCTTTTGTGATCTCAATTTAGCAAAAGATTAGAAAGCTGATCTTATCACAAGGTAAGCTCAGCCTTCCTAAGTGCAGTGTGGGGATATGCATAATTACACTTCTGCGCCTCAAAAAAGCAATGGTGCTATAGTTGCTTGTGTGAAAGGAGTATTTCCCATGTGGGAGAAAAACAAGGAATACTCTCCACTTTTTTCTGCCCTTGCCCATACCTCTCAACTGTGTCTCATTAGGAGAGAAATTTTCCATTCTAGACCCCCCCCTTACTGGAATAATTGCATCCCAAGCAGACACGATTCAATTAAACAGCAGTTCAGTATCAGTTTTATGTCAGAGAACAGTTTACCTGCATTTGCACGTGAGTGGGACGAATCGCTCCTATTGCTGTTTTCTTTATTTATTCCCGTAAGTTGCGTGCAACAGATAGACGGATCGCAAAGTAAGTGATAGAAAATTACAGAAATTAACTCCAGAGCAAATTAATCTTCCTACATTTGCATTTTCCTTATTTATCTGCATTATATTGCTGTACCATGTTTGGGACTTCAGCTGGTTGAGAGGTATGTTTCAAAGGGTTTCTAAAACAAAAGCTTCCAATAAGGAAATATTGCTAATAGCTATTGTTCCCTTTCTCCTTTTTTTGTTACTATAGGACTTGAATGTCTGTAAAATATTTGATCATTGTTATGTCTTCCCATGCCAATTTTATACTTAGTGCTTTTTTGCAAATTAAAGTATTCCTATGTTAAAACTCTCTCTTTCTCTCTCTCCCTCCCCTCCCCGCAATTTATAATGGGCAGACAGACTGGTGAGTCTGCATGTTGTAAATTGCGGGTTTGGGTCCTTAGCTTGCAAAGAATGTTATGCAGTAGAACTTCGCTAATTCTTTTTTTACTGACTTGAAAATCCAGTCACCCTCCAAAGAAACTGAATAAATAGTTGTCATTTCCTCAGCAACGGTGCACATTCTGAATACTGAACCCTAAAGTTTTCTAATACTGAAAACTTTATACTGATTTCTTATTATTAAGCATTTCAACAAAACAAGCATGTTTTGTGGTCAGAGGTCTTTGATGTCTGTCATGTTTGTTGGTTGCATTGTTACTTCAGAAAATGCAGTTTTTCAAAGAGGGTTTCCTGACACTACTGCAAATCAGTGAGGTTCTACTGCAATGGATGAATAAAGCCAATGTCAAAAGTGGAGAGTAGAATGCAGTATTTAAAATAATAGGCTATTTTACACAGTTACCAACCCAAAGGCTTACATTGTTTGCAAAGGTAGAGGTTTATTTGTTAACGAAGGCCCAGATCCTGTAAAACACTTGAGAATATTTTAACTTGCAGCTCTTGGGATCTGGCCCAAAGACCACTGACGTCAGTGACAGCTTTTCCTGTGTCTCTTGAGCACCCACAGTGACTTCAGCACATACCTAAACCAAAGCCCATGCTTAAGTGTTTTGACTGATTTGGGGCAAAATTCGCATTGCTATTAGTAGGGGTTTTTACTGGAAATTACACTGCTTGGGTCAGTCAGCACTGCATCAGACGCAGTACTGGGAAGAGTACAGGGAGGAGCACCAGTGCCCTCCTAGAAGGATGGAACCAGTGACTTTGGCTAAGATTTTCAGAAATTTACATATAGATTTCAGAGACTTGTTCTCCTAAACCCTTCAAGTCTTCTCCATCTTGGTTTGGCCCAATTCTGAATCCCTTTATTCCAGAATTAAATTATCAGAATCAGGACCTCTGACTATATATCATTCAATTACCTTCATTTTTTTCTTCTCCTGTATTTCACTTACACAGTTATGTGAGTACATATATGTATTAAAAAATATATTTATATGTATGTATGTATAAATATATATGGATATGGATCTAGAGATAGACATAAATACAAATACACAGAGATATTCCATATATTAATAATACTTTCTCTTGAAGCAAGGCTTTTAGGAAGGCCAGCAGGGATTCAGGAACCAAGAAGAGCATTTTGCATTTTCTGCATTTTCTGCTAGTGCAATTTATTATTTCATAAATATCAAATAAAAGGGCTGTAGCTGCTGCTGGGGACTAATGTTGAGGAGCAGTAGCTGAAAAGAAAAACAATAGGGGGGGGCGTAATTTGCTTGGTTTTCTTCGGTTTATGTTGCAATTTGTTCACTTATAACAAGACTGAATTTTCCAAGAAACATGGATAGGGGCTATTTTTATGATAAATTATGGATAAATCAGAATTTGGATTTGGTGCTTGATGACTGTATATTTAATCAAATATACTGTACATTTTTCCTTTTCTCCCTTCCTTCTTGCTTTCCCAGACACAGTGCTAACATAAACCTGCACCGTAAACTGTTGACCAAAGAACTGGATGACATGGGCCTGGACACCTCACAGCCTTCTCTTAGTAAGGACCTCCGCGATGAATTTTTGGTGAAGATATATGGCGCTCAGCATCAGATGGGGCTCGACATAAGGGAAGACACCTCCTCGCCTGCTGGTACTGAGGATTCCCATATGAATGGGTACAGCAGGGGCATGTCGGAAGACTATATGGTCCTAGACCTGAGCACCACCTCCAGCATCCAGTCGAGCAGCAGTATCCATTCTTCAAGAGAATCTGATGCAGGAAGCGATGAGGGCATTCTCCTGGACGACGTCGATGGGGCAAGTGACAGCGGGGAATCTGCCCACAAAGCAGATGCCCCTGCCTTAGCTGTAGGTATGGCCACCGATGTCCCAGGATCCCTCATGTTCAACAGTGTTTCGGTGAGCAACGGTGGGATAATGTGTAACATTTGCCACAAAATGTACAGCAACAAGGGAACCCTCAGAGTGCACTATAAAACAGTGCACTTGCGAGAGATGCACAAATGCAAAGTCCCTGGGTGCAACATGATGTTCTCCTCTGTCCGTAGCCGAAACCGGCACAGTCAGAACCCCAATCTGCATAAAAACATTCCCTTTACTTCAGTAGATTAGTTCAAGGATGGACACAGCATAATACCAGCTCTCAGAGAGGGCCCACCACATCTGAACTGCCATATACAGTCTCCCTTTATATATTTTGGGATAGAAACAAAAAGGTGGGATCTTTAATTTGGGGGGAGAGACCCTTCATGAGAAAAGCAAACAAAAATAAAAAACAAAACCACAGAAAGCTTGCAGTTCTCCCTAGTTCTGTTAGAATGTTCTTGGTCATCTCCAAAGAGACAATTTGTTCTACCCATGACTTTTGCCTGAAAAAAAGAACAAAAAACAACAAAAAAATTGCAAACAAACAAAAAGAGAAAAAACCGATCTACTTAGTTGTCTTTGTGTCTTCTAAGCATTGGGGATAACGTTCTACTAAGCATGGCTGTTACACTTGTATATATATATTGAGCCTTGACAGGCCTATGATGTAAAACAATTGTATTGATGGTGGTTTAACTCTTTTTTTTTTTGCTTAATTTTTACAGTTACATTCAGCTGTTAGATAAGCAGGAAAAATAGATTGCTGGCTAGTTCTACTCATTTATGTTAGCTTTAATGCACATTTTTAAAAGAACCACGGTCTTGTTTTAACTACCTGCTAGATATAAGTAATACAGAGGTGCTGGCATGCTTTACAGTGCCAGATCTGATACAGTTTTTTTGTCTTGTACTATTACATAAATCCAGTCATGCACTTTTTCGTACACTACAAGGGGATGTGTAATAATATCCATGCTTTTTTTTTCTTAAACTATTGCCATATTTTCAGTAAGTGTCTTTAAAAAAATACACTTAGGTAAAAGTGGTCTGGTCAGTATGAGGGCATGAATGCCAAACAAAGAGTATTAGTGTTTAGTGTTAATACAAAAGTGCCAACTTTGCACACATTTTGAAAAAAGAAAATGTAGTTATTCACCATAACCACAGTTGTAGTTTTTGGACTACAGAAAAAATACTGGGGAGGGAAAAAGGGTAAAGTGAAATACAGAATTCTTGGTGCTTTTTTCAAGTGCCAATTATTACTAGAAACAATAGTGCATTCTTATTCCTTATATACTACATTACATAAAAGAAAAAAAAACAGAATTATGTCATGTGAATCAGTGGAAACTTTTTTTTTTGTCAAACATGCATAATATTTGGGGATATAAATGCTGATACTACTTGTCACAGAACAAAGATGGATATAATTTTGTGTGCTTCTTACTATGGCCTGGATTTTTTGTGGTGTTTTAAAAAAAAAAAAAAGGAACAGGGAAATAATGTTAACTATGTTGTTCTGTAAAGTTGTCTTTTTTGCAATGGAAAGTGCTGTAGTATGATTAAGGCATGTTTTATAGAAGCAATCAAAAGAAATTAATGGCAGAAGCACTTAGAAGCTCTGAAAACATATGCTGGACTTTTTATTGGGTAACTTTCCCTTTGGATAAAATTAGAGGCCAGAAAAAAAGGATCTCTAGTTGTGTTAATGTTTCGTGTTTCACCCACATGATTTGTCAGAAAATTATGCAAGTCCAAGAAAGATAGCAAGCAAGAGAGCGAGCATGAACAGAAGAGGGAGAAGGAGCAAGCAGTTGAGAAAGGCAGAGAGCAAGAGAGGCTGTCCTCTGAATCTTTTTTGTTTCCGGTGTTTACACATGTTGCTTGAGCTGGTAAACCACGCTGGCAGCCTGAGTTACCACAACATACTGACTAAGTGATGGTATTTACTTATGTTCAGTCTACAGCCAAAACCATCAGGGTGTGTGTTGTAGACCCTTTTCTTTACAAAAACAATAACAAAGGCAAAAACAAACAAACAAACAAATGAAAACCCAAGGGATATTTCAGCATACAATAAAATATTCCTTCAGTGAGAATGTGTTCCTTTTCTGTATTTACTGACCCAGAACATTATTCTTCTTAGCCAACAGTCAGAAATGCTCCATTGTTTCAGCTTGTCATTGTTTTGATTTGCTGTGTATTTTGATTATTCTTACCTTTATGTCCACTTGAGCACTTAACTCCTGTTATGTTTCCTAAAGGAAACTCTGAATATGGATTTCCTCTTTTTTAGTACTCTTTATGCATTTCAGTATTCTTGTTTCCAAAAGTAGGAATCAATAGCTAATAAATCAGTATTTCCAGTTGTAGAAAATAAAAGAAAAATCTTTCTAAATGCATTCTCACTACGTTCCTATGGGTTACAAGCCTCTGATCATTTTTCATTCTGTACACTGATGAAGCCCTGAAAACAGTTGTGGATCCCACAGAAACTGTAAGGAAGACTTACCTTCTGGTTCAACAAAAAGAAACTTTACAGCAAAAAGCTAAGCAGTTTCACTGACTTTTTTTCTTTCATCTTTTTTATTTTTCCTCAAAGTCTCAACTACTTTGCCTTGTTAAATTGAGTGGAGAGATCTGCTTCGCTTTGTTTTATGTTGTGCAAGCTCAGTGTGTTTGTGAGAAAGGGAAATTAGAACAGTAAAGATGCATTCTAAAATACATGGACCTTTGTAGTGTTATCTGTACTGCCCTCCCATCCCTCCACCTAAGCTATTAGGAAAAAGCAAGATGGAAAGTCTAAAAAACAAAACAACAAAAAATTGAGTGATATCTGCAGAAAGAAAAACCCACTGTTTTGTAATATGTACAGTATAAATAAATATCATTTTTAATGAAAAACACATTTGAGGTATATAAATAATTCCTCACTGAATGAATCACTGTTTTGCATTCTCATTTCACTCTGTTTCTGTTAGAGGTCAAATGGTTTTGGTAAACTTGTTTGGAAACTTAAACATCATCAGTAGATAAATTCAGCAGATTAATTGCATTGGAAAAAAACTTGTTTATTACACAAAACAAAACAGGATATTCTAAAAAGTAAAGAAGCAGCGACAAACATCCAAAAAGTGTTAGAAGCTCCGCAGTCCTACTTATGGCATGCTAAACTTCATTCAGATTTTGCTTAAGCCGTGTAGGAGATATCATCTCCGTCTTGTGGACAGAATATTACTCACTGTTGTTTCTAGGCAAATCAAGTTGTTTCTTCAGTGCTGGTGATACTGATGTCAGAACAGTCTGTTTTAGAAGGGCACATACACTTACATTGAATTGAATGGCATTTCCCTCCTTCCTACTTACCATGCATCTCTATGAGAATCTGTATTTATCAGAATTGTTCTTGTGGTGGAATTTGTATCATCTGAAGTTATCTGAAAAATCCTTAAAAAGGTTGTGTAGTAGAAGTTTGGTTTTACTGACAGAAAGTAGCATTTCTGGGTGATCTCAGCAGTGACCCAGACTGCAATAAGCATACGACCCAACATCTCATGTGTCCAGCACAGGGCATGGCTGTAATGGTGTGATGACAAGAGAAGTGTTGTGCAGTTGCTTATGCCATCACAAACCTGTGGCTATCTCTTCAGTTTCCAAACCTGTCAGTCTAAACCTTTTTTACAAGAATTAGACCAACTTTGAGGAAGAGACTCTTCTTTTTACACGGAGTTTGTTTCTCCTTGTTTGATTCTTATTGTTATTGTGGACCCTCTTTCCACATTGTTTCACTGTTTTGTTTATTCAAGGTAGTTGTATTTTTCTGTAAATATCAAAAAGGTTTTGTCTACTTTTAGGAAAAAACTGTTCATACTGAACCTCCTTTAGAAACAGAACTACTTGTCTGGAGGTTGTTAAGCATTTTTCTTTGTTTGGGGGGGCATGTCAGCATGTGATACTGGTTAATCACTAGGTATCTTTTGAAAACCTCTATGAAACAATTTGGAAGGAAAACAGCCCAGTCAAAGCACAAGAACAGGAACCAGGAACTGAATTTTAATACCACTGGTGGCTCCTTCTCACTGTTCAGTCTTGGACACATCACTTACCCATTTGTGTTTCAGTCTGTTAAAATAAGGCTAATACTAACATGATCTTCCCCATAAGGGTGCTCCTGTGAGGACTAATTAGCTGATGTTAGTAAAGAGCTAATTTAAGTCATAAATATTTTTGCACACCTTACAATATTTAGTCAATTTTTCTGAGCTACATCTCAACTAGGTATGTTTTGCTATAGCTGAAATTTTAACTTTGCCTCTTGAACTGCAGCTGGCTCCATGGTGACACTGTAGTCGTGCACACAAAGTATAAGCACTCTGTCACTGAGTCACAACTCAATTTGACAAAATGTGGGCGGTATAGATTAAAAAGCCTATTAGCACTTACACACTGCTCTTAAAGATCTCTCAAAGGCTTTTCATGACTGAGCTCATAAAATTTGAATGTTTCCTAGGGATCTGTAGATACTTTACACAGCAGAAATTCTGCACCATATTTGCTGTGAGTAAACTTCAGTGTAGTTCCTTCCTTCCTTCCTTCCTTCCTTCCTTCCTTCCTTCCTTCCTTCCTTCCTTCCTTCCTTCCTTCCTTCCTTCCTTCTTTCCTTTCTTCCTTCCTCACTGCTGCCCACTTCCTTGCATTGTGGAAATGAAAGTGTACTTTCTCTGCCTGTTCCATCACCTATGTGTTTCCCATTCCATCCCCAAAAAAGGAACTGTTTAGGAAACAGAGTCAGGTTCTAAACAGTAAAGTAGCTGCCAGGGGAGGCCAGCACCTCTGTTGATCCAGTCCAGTACAGCTAATAGGAAGTGGGGCTTCAGCAATCCACTTGAGTTTTCCCTAAGTTTTAGTCTTCTCAATTAACATAGTTAAGGATCTAGCATAGCTAATTACATGGAGTAGGAACATGCCTAAGCAACAAGACAAAGAGCTGTATGGGTATGTAGAAAGCTCAGAAACTAACGATTCAAGGTCTGATCTGTTCCAAAGATAGGGACCGTTTACAAGAACAGAGATTTAGTTCCAAAAATTTCTCCTTCAACATGTATATTTTATAATCAAAGTGCTTGGTTTGGACCTATTTTTCAGAGAGTAATTAGGGCTGTCAGCTGCCATCAGAAGACAGGACATCTTTTCAGAAATGTATTTGTACTCAGATTCTGCAGGACATTTTCACGGCATCATTGGTG